CACACACACACACACTCTCACACACACACACACACTCTTACACACACACACTCTCACACACAATTTCTGTTAAATTAAGCACATAAGAAAAGTGAAACCAACCTTAGCGTTTCAAGCACACCGGTGTTGTCCGCAGTGTTGTCTTTGGTGGGCGGGAGCTGCTGTGGGAGCGCGACTAGATACTGCAGTTTTTGCGAGTTTTGTTTTTTTGGTTCGGCAGAATTTGTTCAGTCGTGACACGTCAATCGTTAAGTGTGTATCAGCTAGTCGTGTAGTGTGTGCCCAGCTTTATTGTTGTTTTAATGATGTGTGATCTGACATCGAGTATATCGCGAAATCAGTGTGCATTTATTAGTCTATGAAAATTCAAGGAATTCAAAATTGACGAATGAAAAAAATGCCTCTGTATGTTTTTTATATTTATATAACTTAATATAGGCTAGTTAATCTATATCATACAAAGAGTGCCGTTTTTTTCTCTCTGCAGATATCAGCATAACAAATGTAATAATCATGTTTAATAAAGTTAGCATTACGTAATTTTAGACACTATTGCCTGTTTTTGCTCAATTTTGCCAACGAAAATAGTTGCAAACAAAGATCACAGCACTGTTTTGCTTATACTGGTTACTTATTGAGTGGATCAGCTTTTTGAACAAATCGGCTGAATGAATGATTCAGTGACTCACTCATTAACACAGTCAAATGCTTTGTTCCTGAATGAATCAGCTGTTTGAATGATTGGGTTAAATCTCAATGACTCACACATTTACAGCTGTCACCTACTGGCGGTTTTAATTTCACATTTCAACTATTTTTTTCATGTTTTAAATCATTTCAGTATTCAGTATTTTATGTTTAAAACAAAGCATTATTTATGCATTTGTAACTGCAGGTTAAATGCATCCATTTCCCCTCTGAGCTACATTAAACTGTGTAAATACATCTAAATATCACTTCAGATGCAGATTCTAGAAATGTTTTCTTATGTTGTGATTAGGGCTAGGAAAATAAATCGATGCATCGCGAATCAAGAAATGATTCAGCATCGATTCTGAGTTTTTCCGAATGCATGGCGATTCTTTCTCGAGTCGATTCTGAGCATAGTTTTGAACAGCAGATGGCACTGCATGCTTTAGAAACAGCTGTACTCTGTTTGTTTCCAAATCCTGACACACACTTAAACCTAAAATAATCATTCATAAAATTCGAAAAGGTTGAATCGAATTACAAGGGTGTTCACAGTGGGCTTTTCGACAGCCCTGAATGTCAGCGGAGACCAGGACAACTAGATGAGCCCCAGAGACAGATCCCCTGTAAAGACCTTGTCTCAGACGACCACCGGGACAAGACCACAGGAACCAGATGATTCCTCTGCACAATGTGGCTTTGCTGCAGCCTGAAATTGAACTGCTGGTTTCGTCTGGCCAGAGGAGAACTGGCCCCCCAACTGAGCCTGGTTTCTCCCAAGGTTTTTTCTCCATTCCGTCACCGATGGAGTTT